GGGTTTAAGAGTTTTTAAGAGTTTTAGCCAATTGCTTTATAATATAGTATAGATAGATAATATATCAAAAATTTAACGATGGTGGTCTCTTGAGGTAATACCTTTTCTTTCTCTTGCTTTCCTTGATCCTGTTTCTTTAGATTTTTACGTGTGAAACTTAAACCTTTTGTGTGTTTTCACAGCTTTGAGTTTGCATCTTTTTTGATAGGCAGTATTGTTATTTTTATAAAGAACCCATCCAAATGCCTAAAAATATCCAAGTGTTCCTTGTTTTTTCCTTGTAACTCTGATTGAAGAATTAACTAGCAGGCGACATCAAGTTGATGCTAAGCATTTTGCTCAAGAAGTTGGCCTTGTTGACAATCTCTGTTTGTTTGTTAAAATATTTCATTTATCTATTAGAATATTATTTATCTCTTTAAATATTTATTTTTAAAGTTTTCTAATGGTGGGATATATAAAAAAAATATTTCTCTCACATGATAATCATTTTTGTGGTGTTCATATTTGGAGAAAAAATATTATTCTTTTCCTATTTTCTCTATTTTAGAGATTGTTTTAGGAAATCTGTTGGAGCATAAAATTAGTTCAAAATCTCTATTTTCTCAATTTTGGAGAATCTATTGAAGACCTTCAAGAGCTTTTCATTTTTCATTTAGAATAACTTTCAAGTCTGCTTATTCTGTGCATTGCACGGGCATATTGCTAGTATATATATATATATATATATATATATATATATATATATATAGATAGATAGATAGATAGATTTGAAAAAAATATATGTAAAAATAATTATTTATAAAGTTTAAAGTTTTTATTTTATATTTTATAAAATTCTCTTTTTCCTTTTCAAAGGGAAGAAAATGGAAATCGAGAAGCAAACTTGTTCCAACGGCGGAAACGATCATTCCCCCTTCCGCTATTGTTTCTAGGGTTTCTTAATGCTGTATCAATGGAACCAGCAACAGCCAACGATCCGATGATCGACGATGAATCTACGCCGCTGACTATCCTCGATGCGAGCAGCTATCAGCTTCATGATCTCGATTCAATTGACCTCCCACCGACCCTCATCGAGATTGATTTGACGGCCAATCGATTAACTAAGTTGGATTCTCGTATCTCTCATTTATCAAATCTCAAAAAGCTTTCTCTTCGACAGAACCTCTTCAATGATGCCGGTGTTGAGCCTATTTCGCAGTGGGACACCATATCCGGCCTCGAGGTATATGTTTATCTGTTTATTTCTTTAATTTCATGCACTGTGTTCTTTAATTTTTACGTTTTTAGTTTTTTGTGTTGGATGTTAAGAATAAGAACGATGCAAGTCCATTTAACTTCTGAGAATAATGTGTGTAGATACTGACATCGTGGATCTTTTTGCTGATTGCTTATAGTAACTTGAGATTAAACTTGAATAAAATTTGTATTTTTTATTATGGACATGATGTAGTATAGTGTTGTAATGTTCTGCAGTTGTTATTGCGAGATTGATGTTCTGAAATCTTGAATATTTTTATAAAAACTGATTCGAATTCGGTTATGTTCTGAAAGCTCTATGCATATGGGTATAACTATATATAAGTGTGTATATGTGTGTTTGTTTTGCAATTAGTGGTTCTAATATAGCAATATGGTTTACCGTGGTTATACTTGCACCGGGTACAATCAGTAAGAAGAATATGGTTTTCGAAGGTTACGACTTATGACCTCGGAATTGCATCGCTATTTTTGCATGGATATAGTAATATAAGTTATATCTTTGCTTATCTAGCTATTCAAATTTCTAGTGGATTGCTATTTTTGGCCTCGTGATACTTCTCTCCGCCCTTGTTATAGAGATACATTTTGGACATTAATGAATGAATTAGTACCATACAATAATGAAGATCGATACAAATTGATTTGACTTTAGAAATAACATGCACACACAGACATGGTTAGGAGTCTTTTTATATAGTTTTAGGATTGCTGTAGTTGATGTACAAAAAAATCAGCAAAATCTGTATTATTTTTATCTAAAGATTTTGTAAATACTTGTATATTCGCTGATCTAATACATCTATGTTTTGAGATAACATGATCTAGGATTAATATGAATCTATAGGTCGTATGTGGTAATATATATGTAGCATATGCACCACAATGAAATAAATGGGAATACCTTTGAGCCGATAGCCTGTGAACCAGGGGTGTTGCCGGAAATTAGATAAGGTGAGAAAATGATGCAGTCGTCTATCAGTCATCCAATACTAAGTGCAAGGTATAACTTTAAATTACTTAAAACTTGATTAAGATTATTAGTGTTTAAATGATCACGAAACACTCGGTATATGTTGGAAGTCATCCATTGTGCCTAAGTAGATGTAGTATGCAAAAGTTTCTCTATAGAGAGGAGCTCTGCTCTGGTGATCAAGATTCATCATTTTAAGGCAAGAATTCTAGTAGACCACCGTGAGTAGAAATACAGATTTTCGTTTTACCATACCATCAGCAGGAAATAGAAGGACTCATAAGGAAGTCAAGTAACCACCATGCATAGAAGGTAATATCACCCTTGATGTGGGCTACCACTTCTGAAGTTGTTATTAACAGAGGTTAGGGTGATTATAACTTTAGTCTACAAACCAAGAACAGGTAATGTATCTATAGCATACAGGCTGATTGATTTATTAGGTAGAGTTTTTGTTCTTTTCTTCAATTACTGTTAACATGTGCTTTATTATTTCTTGAAGCCTTAAGAATAGTAAATCTTCTCTCACCAGGTTAAACGTAGGTGAAAAATAGGATAGCTTTTGTTGTATGTGTCCCCTAGACAAAGGACATGGCATTGGGTTATAATGGGTAAGTGAAGAATAGTTCTACATCCGATTTGTCAGGTGATTTTATATGTTCAATGGGTAGCGTTCATTCTACTAGCAGTTACTGATTGTTTGTACTTTCACTGATCCAATAGAACCATAATTTTTTTATTTCCTTTTCTGTTTTTGACGAAGTGGAGGAGTGACAGATTGACAGTGACGCTGTTGCTTTAGACTGCTTAAAACAAACAACTAAGCTTTATATCAGGTGTAATGATGAGATGGTAACTTATAGGAAAGCAGTAGCCACTAGGTTGCCAGTTTGGGTGGAGTGCACATTTTGTTTTTCAAATCAATGGTTACTTCTTTTAACTTTGCCTCACTAGACTTATTTTTAGTACAGCCGATTCCAAGCTCAACAGAGAGCAGCGAGATTCTAGCATAAGCTTGACTTCTGGTGTTGGACTTTTCAGATTTCTATGAACATGAACTCCGAGAATACCCCTATTGACTGGGACAGAGGCTTGTCATGCACTTCTATTCACCCAAAGTGTAGAACATTCTCACCAAAATAATCAAGATATCCATCATGTGTTGAATAGTTATCTTTCGAGTTTCAACATGATTATATGCATGTGCAGTTTCTTCCATACCTAAGTCCACAATTTTAACCATTTTGTTGTCCAAGATATACTTTGTGTGGCTTTGATAAATTACTTGGGCTGTTTGTGCAGGAGTTGGTTCTCAGAGACAACCAGCTGAAGAAGATTCCAGATGTTAGCATATTTAAAACCCTCCTTGTATTTGATGTTTCTTTCAATGAAATTTCAGCAATGACTGGACTGTCCAAGGTGTCCAGCACACTCAAGGAACTCTATGTCTCTAAAAATGAAGTCACCAAGATTGAGGAGATTGAGCACTTTCATGAACTTCTAATTCTTGAACTTGGCTCCAACAGGTTACGGGTGAGGATTTTTTTCTCAACAGGAAGTCCATTCTTCTTGAGTTGATTATTACATATGCAGGACACTAGAGGCTCGCTACATAACTGCAAAACCCTTCCTGTATTCAAAGAAAATTATTTGCACATATGCAAACGTTTTTTTCATGATTGTGTTCTCAAGACTTGATTGGATTTTCTACTAGCAAACTTGCATTTACACACTTTTAACAAAATTGTCCAGAGATACAAAGGATGGACACGTAAGGGTTGTCACTAGCGTAGTCCCCGAAACCTCATGATTAGATCTCAAACTTAGGTGTCTGATTGGCTAATCATCAATGGCAACAGTTTTGAAGTGATTTTGACCCTACAAAATCTTTTGCTAATATAGAGACTAAGGTGGCTTTTGGTTCTTTTTGAGGGAATGGAAAAGGAAATGGGCATAATAAGAAATGATAATTTTGGGGAATGAAAAGTCATTTCCCCTATTTTACTAGGGTGTGGATGATTACCCACTTTTAAGTAATCACTTATTGCATTATATTGACCGAACACCATTATTCCTTATTATTCCTTATTATTCCCATTCCTCC